CCTCATATGTCTTCAGTCTTGAAGGGCCTTCAAGTTTTAAACACGGTGGATTTGGGCACTCATTTCTAGTACTAAACTTACCTCCACTCAACCCGGCTAGAGAAATCCAAGGCTAATAATAATATCCAGAAGCAGCATGGCCTGGTTCTGCGTTCATAACTTCCATTAAGCCCAAATATTTCCGCAGAGCATATTTTTCAGTTAAATCATAAGCAATAAAAAAGAACCTCCTGGAGCTAGAGGACCCGGGTTTGATTCCCAGCACCCACATTGTGGCTAACAACCATCTGTAATTCCAGTTACATAGGGGCCTTATGCACTCTTCTGGCCTCCACCAGCATTCCATGAGTGTGGCACACATAACATACATGCAAAGCATTAATATTCATAAAATTAATGTTTTTTAAATATTTTATTATTTTCATTTTATGTGTATTGCCTGCATGTGAGTGCACCCGTGTCATGAAATGCTGTGGGGTCAAAAGAGGGCTTTGGATTCCCCTGGAACTGGAGTTAAGGACGGTTTGTAGCCACCATGTGGGTTCTGGGAATCGAACCCAGGTCCTCTGCAAGAGCAGTCAGTGCTCTTAACCTTAATTTAAAAAAAAATTAGAGCAGAATCCCTGAGAGTGCCTGGATCCCGCCTCCACATGGTGGTGAGCTTCCCCAAATCAGGCCATGCCCATCCCCCCTACATTGGGACTACATGTGCCTCCCCCACACACACTGTTCCAAGGCTAGGCTTCTCTACCCTTCACTAGGAGCACAGACCTTAGCAGATTACTGAGAATGCCTAAATTGGGTCTTCACTTAGCGATCTTCCTAAATTGTACTGTGACTGCTCGCTCGTGGGGGCCCACACCTTAGGAGAAAGACTGAGAGTACCTGATTGGCACCTGACTTGGGCCTCTGCAGGAGCTCCTGAGTTGCTGAACTGAAGCCATCTGGTCCCTCCAATATAAAATCAAAAGAGAGAACCTGAAGCCTAGACCAACCAGTTTTACATACCCAATAAGAAAACTAAGGCACAAAACAAAGAGAAGCAGACTTCAGTTCAACAAAGGAAGGCTTAAGTTTCATACCAGAATCACAAACAACAAAAAAATCCACATGCCAAAATCACAATGGGAAAATAATAATATAGAAAACCAAAATAATAATACAATAATATGTTCCCACCAAACTACACCAGTCCTATAGAAGAGTTCTACAAGGAGGACCTCCTAGAGATAACCCAGGACACAGAATTCAAAAGAACAATCATAAACAGGATCAAAGAAGTCAATGAATTTAAAGAGCACACAAATAAATCAAAGAACTAAAAGGAGACAGAGATAATTCTGTCTGAATTCTGACTGAATTCACAAAAGAGACAGAAATATTGAAGAAAACTCAGGTTGAAATGAAGAAGGGAATGAAAAACTCAATAAGCCAATTTGAAAAAACAGAAGGGGGCTGGAGAGATGGCTCAGCAGTTAAGAGCACTGGCTGCTCTTACAGAGGACCTAGGTTCCATTCCCAGCACCCACATGGCGGCTAGCAACCATCCATAACTCCAGTTCCAGGGGAATCAGACCCTCTTGTGACCTCCATGGGCATTGCATGACATGGGTACACTTACATACATGCAGGCAATATACTCACAAACATAAAATGAAATATATATATATATGTAAAAGAAAAAAACAGGCAAAAGCCTCACCAATAAAATTAATGAAATGGAAAACAGAATATCAAGAATGGATGATAAAGTTGAAGAATTGGACCACTCAAGCAAAGATTATGAAAAAAAAATTAAAAACATAGGAATGGAATATTCAAGAAATGTAGGATACTATGAAAAGACAAATTTTACACATCATAGGCATAGAGGAAGGAGAAGAATTTCAGGTTAGTGATATTTTCAACAGATCTTAAACAGGATTGTAGAAGAAAATTTCCCAAAATTAAGGAAAGACACCCTCATATAAATACAAGAAGCACATAGAACACCAAATAGAGAGGATCAGAAAAGAAACTCCCCATGGCATATCATAGTAAATGTACAGAACAAGGAGAGAATACTGAAAGCAGAAAGACAGACAGACAGACAGAAAGAAAGAAAGAAAGAAAGAAAGAAAGAAAGAAAGAAAGAAAGAAAGAAAGAAAGAAAGAAAGAAAGAAAGAAAGAAAGAAAGAAAGAAAGAAAGAAAGAAAGAAAGAAAGAAAGAAAGAAAGAAAGAAAGAAAGAAAGAAAGAAGAAAGAAAGAAAAACGCTCACATATAAAACCCATCAGAATTACAATCAATAATGCAAACTATGAAAGCCAGAAGACCCTGGACCAAAGTATTCCAAGTTCTAAAAACCATGAATGCCAACCCAGAATACCCAGCAAAATGTCTATTATAGTTGAAGGGGAAAGAAAAATCTTCCATGACATGAATAGGCTGAAAGGATACATGTCCACAAGACCAGCCCTTCAGAGAATACTTGAAGTGATACAAAGAATGGAAATAAGACTAAACCCCAGGGTCAACAGAAAGAAACTAAATGAAGGTATAATTGTAGAAACACAAAATTAGACCAAGAATGCAAACAGAAATTAAAATGACAGCAACCAATACACATCTTTCAATAGTGACTTTAAGTATCAATGGACTAAACTCCCAGTCAAAAGACACAGGCCAGCTGAATGGATTGAGAAACAAAATCCACAAGTGAATATTATTTAACTCTTAAAAAAACAAAAATTATGAAATTCACAGGTAAATGAATGGAACTGGACACAACTGTTATGAGTGAAATGACCGAGACTCAGTAAGACAAAAATGTTCTCTCTCATAGCTGGATGCTAGCTAGCTTTGAAATCTTAGATATGCATGATTAAATCTGAAAGTTCAGAGAAGTCAAAAAACTAATAAATGAATATAGGGAGCTTGAAGGCTTCCTGTGAGTGGAAGTAGAATGCAGTGATATGAAGGGGGAAAGGGGAGCAGTCGACTAGAAAGGGTTCAATGGGTGGGAATGGAAGGGCCTGACAGAAGAGGGAGTATAGGGAGGAAAAGCAAACTAAAGAAGATTAGAAAAAGCCATAATGAAACCTATCCCCATAGAAGCACTTTACAAACGTTAATGTAATTTTTCTCCTCCTGTTTTTTTTTCTTTCTCTTTGTTCATTTTCTTATACTGCTAAATTATTTCTAGTTATTTAGGAAGTTACCAGAAAACACATTATGTTTATTTTGGCAACTGAATTCAGCAAATTTTTTTTGAGACAGTGTCTCCTTATATCTCCATCTGACCTAGAGCATGCTAGGAAGCCAGACTGGCCTCAATCTCACAACATTTGCCTCCAGGTAGCTGGGCTTAAAGTCATGCACCAATACATCTGGCTAATTTAATGATTCTATTACATCTTTTCCAGTTTATTAAGAACAATAAAAATGTTCTTCCCATCTAAAAAAAAAAAAAAGAAACAAAATCCATGCTTTTGTTGTCTGCAAAAAACCCATCTCACCTTCAAGGACAGGCACTACCTTAAGGTGAAAGAATGGAAAAGAATATTCCAAGCAAATGTCACTAGGAAACAAGCAGGGGTTGCAATTCTACTATCTAACAAAATAGACTTCAAACTAAAACCAATCAGATGAGATAAAGAAGGTCACTTCATTCTGATCAAAGGAACAATTGAACAAGAAGATACTACAATCATGAACATATATACACCAAACTCTGGTGCAACCGAATTCATAAAAGCAACACTACAGGACTTTAAGACACGGATTAATCCCAACTCAGTAATAGTAGGGGAATTCAACACCCCACTGTCTCCATTAGACAGGCCAACTGGACAAAGAATAAACAGAAAAACATCTGAATTAAACAATACCATACATCAAAGGGACCTAACAGACATCTTCCAAATATTCCACCCAAGCACCAATGAATACACTTTCTATTCAGCACCCCATGGAACGTTCTCAAAAATTGACCACACAATCTTAAAGTCAATACCAAAAGAAGCTCATGGAGATTAAACAACATACTCCTGAATAATTAATAGTCAAAGAATAAGTTAAGAAAGAAAAGTATTCCTAGAACTAAACAAAAAGGAGAATACAACACAACAAAACCTCTGGGACACTTTAAAAGCAGTCCTAAGAGGGAAGTTTGTAGCCGAAAGAGCAAAAATAAATGACTTAACAGTGCAACACAAGATTCTGGAAAGGCAAGAACAAATTAAACCCAAACCCAGCAGACAAGAAGAAATAACAAAAATCAGAGCAGAAATTAATGAAATAGAAACAAAACAATATAAAGAATCAATGAATATAAGAGCAGGTTCTTTGAAAAGCTAAACAATATACCCAGTTAACCAAAAGAAAGAGCACCTCCAAATCAACAAAATCA